GACGAAACGTCGATACGTATTTCTATATTTTAAACATTAATGATTGCGGACATTTATGCAAATCTGCACTTTTACAAACGGGTCATGCATGTCTACTAAATATTACTTTTTTCTTTTTTTACATTTTTACACACTGCATATGTATTCCGTATATCCTTGAAATTTCTTATTTTCTACAAAACGCGTGAACATACGCAATCTACTAACAAACTGTGAAACGTTCGTAACTCACTTGTTCCACGTGATCTTGACGTGTTCAGCCTCGATGTCCTCTGCAAGGCCTCTTTCAAGTGGCTCGGCGATCATCGTCAACTTGTTCCGTTTATTCGGCGTCTCGGCGAAACACTTGAGAGAACTCGTTTCCACCACCGTCTCTGCGAATGCAACGACCGGGTCTGCCACTTTTATATCGATTTCCGAGTACATACGACGCAGGTCGTGCATCGCGCAGTCCAAATACAGTTCACCGGTCCCCAAGACCACGTGTTCGCCACTTTCTTCGACTCTGGTGCCCAGCAACGGGTAGCTCTTATTCACTTTTCTCAAACCGTCCAACATTTTTGGCAATTCCGATGGATTGACAGGCTCGACCGCGATTTTGATCACGCTCTGCGTATTGAACTTCAACGGCCGGAAGATGTGCAGGTCGTCCGAGTTATTGAGATCGGTGATCGTGCTCGTTTTCACGATCGGCCTGTCGATACCCTCGATAAGAACCCAGTTGCCCGCGGGGACTCTATTCAGCTCGATCGAGTAGCGCGCCTCGCTGATCCACAGCCTTCCCACGGTTAAGACCCGAGAATCTTCCTCGTCGGTACGCGAGTATGCCTCGCCTAATACGCGGACGCGTTGTCCTGCCTCGAGTGTACCGGACATTACCCTCCCGAGGACCACGAACAACGTACAGTCTTCCGTTGGGTACATTTTCGTACTGTGAATCATTAGCCTGCCCTGTAAATATCGTTTATACCGTGTTAGAGTTACCGCGTAGAGAGATACGAAGGAGAGATACGTGTTTTTGCAATGTAAATATCTCTTAGCAAGTACTAACGTCAGGATCGCAATTGATCATGTCCTGCGCGAGAGACGAATCCATAGAGCCTGTGTACACGTGTTGGACCTTGACCGGTGCGTGCGACTGAGGACTGGGAACGTGGGCTACGCACATGTCGACTAATCCGCACATATCGCCCAAGAAACGCGTGCACACCAACCTCAACAGAGGTCTAATGTTCATTTTCATTTCCTCGGATGTCAGTCTTATGCCTAATTCGTCCAGCACTGTGGAATCGTACAAGTTTGCAATGTTATTTTTTTTCACGACATTAATCTGCTAATCTGACTTCGAAGGCAGATTCACTACTAACCGTCGGGCAAAGTTGTGTCGACATCGCCGACCACCTGCGCGAAAATCTTGTACAACGGTTCGAGAATGAATTCGATGAAGCTACGTTGCGCGGTGTTGTGCGGTGGTTTTTTCGTGAATTTCCGCGTTTTTGAGTTAAAGTATATGTCACCCCATAGTCGTTTTGCGAATTCATTGGCGTTCAGGGAGAGATGGGTCTTGGCGTAGAGTGCCGCGAAGGATTTCAGGGTAAAACAGACATTGTACTCGGAACTTGCGAAGCACACGTTTCCGATCGCGGGTGACACGAAAGATGGATTTTCCGAGTCTGAATATAACGCTATCAGTCCGTTAATTTCTTCGATGATGTGTCTTAATTTATAGTACGCGTCCAGTGGGGGCAATTTTAGTTCCAAGATCAGTCGGTCTATCTTATTTATACAAACTGTTAACGCGAGTTTTTCTTGTAGCGCGTGTTTCAATAAACGCTCTGTATTCAACATAACGCCTTCGGCGGCGTCGACGATCAGTATCGCTCCGTCGGACAAACGTATCGCTGCTGTCGCCTCGTCAGAAAAATTTACGTGACCAGGAGTGTCAAATATATTTAAGAGATAGGATTTTGATTTCACGTCTTGTAGCAACAAAGTCACCGGTGTCGCTTTTGTCGATACTCCTCGCTGTTGTTCCGTGAACAACGTATCAGTATACCTAGGAACATAAACATACACGTATTTCTTTTATTTAATTGAACAGTGCTTATCGAGAGTATTTATTGTATGAGTAGATATTGTACCTTAAAGGTTTTTCGTCTGTTACACTGTGCAAATAAGGATGAGTTTGTCTCACTAAACAGTCGACTAAAGTAGTTTTGCCATGATGTAGATGACCGAGTAGAACAACGTTGCGTATGAGATGAGGTGCATCCATCATGTCTGCTAAAAATTCTATGCTATACGTTGTTTCTGGTAGTTGCTGTTGTTTTATTTGAAACTTTGGTTTCCTCGTTGGTGCTATCAATGGTTTATCTAACGGTTGTGCATCTTCTTCCTGCACTAATGTCTCCACCTATAACATGTTTCAAATAACTGTGTATTAATGTTGAAACTAATAACTGAAAGTACATGCAGTTGTTCAATTTACCTCTGGTCCATAAACTTCTAAAGCGCTTGGATAGTATCTTTTGTCTTCGTGCAATACAACTGCCATAGAATTTCCTTGCTCTGATTGTTCCCTAACTTCATCTTTATCTTCTTCCATTTCTTCATCAGAGCGTTCTCTATCTTCTGTATCATCTCCAGCATTTCCATATTCGTTTTCATCCTCACTGTCAGAAGCCAAATCAGGGCCAATATAATTGCCAAATTCATCGTACAGATCTGCATCCATGGTGATTTTTTCTTAATTTAATAACTATAAATATGAAACATCGTACATTTTAGACAATGTTAATCATTTTCATATAAGATATGATTTATTTTTTTCTCATTAATTATGATTGTTTATAAACACAATGTTCGAACATAACCTCAAAAACAATAAACGATAAGTTAAACACAATATCTTACAGTATATTATAACACATTAAAAAATTCTGTTAAATTTGATTCAATACTTATGAACAATAAATACTTACCAAAATTAATATTATCTGACTAGGAGTGCGAAAATGCTTAACGTTATAACTAGTTATACTAGATAACCTCGTACCATGTACATAACGTCGTGAAATAAAATGAATGCGAGTTTTTCAAAAATCTTTAATTATTAAATTAACGGTAAAAATGTTAGTAACTATTTTTATACAAATTTTATACAACACGTGTATTTTTATGTTTTACATGTATAAATATTTCATATAAATCTCTTTAGAATGAAGTAGAGTGCAAGAGATCGTAAGATGGCTTGCCAACATAACGAAATCATTTTTGAAAACTGTACTTAATATATTTAAGTTAATATATTGACAGGATATTTTTGACCCTGCGGGTGAATTTTCAAAATTCACGCGCATAAATAAATGTAACTTTTAATCGAAAGTTACATTTTTATTTTTGCGTTTTGGTCGGATTAAACATAGTTGGCATCACTGTGAAACAGTGCGATAATTACAAAACATACCGCTAGGGTAGTTATGTTTGCGCGCATGGTGATAAAAGTATACAAGACCTATTGTATATGCTACTACGTTAAAAACTAACACAAACATACTTTTCACATAGATACGAATGTTGCGCACAGTGGTTCAGACTGACAGCTGGAAGAACGTGAAACAGGAGTGGCAGATCATGTAAGGTGAGTATCGTTTATTTCATTCGAGAATAGACTGCATCAGGACGGTTCGACCACTGTTGCACAGTGTCCTAATTAAACGCTGGCAACTCTTCATCTAATTTTGTCCTATTAAGTGTAATTGACACACCCGTTACATCGCGATGTTCCAGCGTAGTTCGTTAATTCTTGTGTTCATGTAAACAAAACTGTTACAATAGAAATTGTTAAGTATTAAGAAGTAACACGTTGTTAATTTCGTCGATCTAATTGTGAGTTAACCCAATTTCAGGGCGCTTTAGTCATAGAGTGAGACTTGACAATTCACGAGCAGAGGCGCTGTTAAGAATACATTAGAAGAG